TGTCCTCCAGTTCGCTGTAGTGGTGGTCTTGTTGGTGCTGTTGTCATTTTCCTTCTAATTCCTTCATGTTCTACTCGCGTGTTGTTTATGTGAGAGGATTACTCGTCTCGAAGCCTCCTCGATCATCAACAATGAGTTCCATAGTCACAATGGGCCCGCCTGTCAACAAAACGACAGGACATTATCTCGATTTCTCTCCGCAATCAGGAAGAACGGACATATGCTGTGCGACTCGATTCTGCAGCCGTAGGCAGCCGACGAGCGGGCAAGGGAAGTAGGACGAGGATTGTGATCCTGAGCGGCTGCCACGGCAGATGAACAGATGTGTGGTATTTGAACGTGTGTGGTTCGAAAGAGGCCTTGGAGGGTTAAGAAGCTTTGCTCGGCATGTAGTAATGAGGTAATTGAGTTACCGGCGAGTGTCCTGGTACAGGAACGAACTTCCGACAGACAATGGTGGATAAGTTCACATGAGACGTCTGGATCCTAGGAATAAACTATTCTTCTTCTTAAGCAGATCTTCATATGCGTACAGCAAAACGACTGCTATTCTATGAATACAGGAAAGCAACTGACAGATACGCTAGAAGGACGGCAAGTGCTTGAAGTGACCGTTATGATAATGATCAAGCAAAGGATGAAGACGAAAAGAATAGGTTGAATAACGAATAAATCCCGAGAAAACACGAATATTGTTCAACCCGCGTAACCTGTCCCGAAAAGGTCTTGGCGCCAGCTTCTTCTTGTTTCCTGTCTCTTTTTCTCTCCCCCCCCCCCCCCCCGACACTCTCTTTAAACCCTCTTACTGTGTATTTCGGTCCTACGAAACCGAATCCAAGTCTCCTGTACCCTTTAAGAAACGCCTCGACCATGCCCGAACTCATATGCATCCCATGCCCACAAAATGCCACAAAAACACGCTTCTTATATATGAACCCACATCGATAGGCCTCTAAAAAGGCCCCAACGCAAACCACGAGAAACATCACGTACTCCTTGTACAACCACCCAAAATCACAAGAATCACATAACAACACAAACAGCAGTCCTAGCCCTCCTCCTCCCTCCTGCCACTCCCATCCCTTCGTCACCACCTCCAGCCCCCCAAACATCCTCATCATCCTCACCTAGATGGCCCAAACCCTCCTCGTTAGCATGCACCATCGCGGCCTCCCTCGCTCTTCTCCTGCGTCTCCTCCTTCCAGCACCGTCCCCGCCCGCCCGCTCCTCTTCCTCGGCTTGCATATACTGCGCCCACTTGGCTTCAAGACGGCGAGCCGAGGGAAAGGACCCGCGAAGCACGCGCTTGGTGTGCTCGTCTACGGTTTGTTGCCAGCCGTAGTAGCATTTTAGGGCAATTGTTTCCGTGGGCGGGCAGGAATAGGTGGTGGTACCGACGGTTGTGCTTGTGGTGGGAGAGGGGTTGATGGGCGTGGTGGTGGCGGTGCCGGATTTGTTGTCGGTGTCGAACATGGAGGTTGTAAGGTCGGATGATGATGGTTCCTCAGTAAGGGTGATGGAGGGGGTACCAGTGGCAGGAACAGAAATCTTCATGGGTTCGGTGTTTCGGCTGAGGACTTCGCGGATTCCAGTCCAGGTGACGTTGCCGCAGTCGTAGACGGTCAAGTGTAGAGTGACATTTGGCAAGCCTGAGACCTCCTGAGGGCTGAGAGAGATGGCCCGACGCCTGACGTCCATCGCGCGCTGACGGACCATAGAAGCTGCTTCGGCCAGGACCAAATCGCTGATGCGCGTGTTATCCATAATCACGCTGCGGAGAGATGTGCAAGCGCGGAAGACGGGTAGCATGCCCGTGTCGCCTAGATTACCGCAGTAGCCAATGCTGAGGTGTTCGAGCTTGCTCGCGCAGGGAGCTTTGGCGAGGTGTTCGGACAAAAGAGAGTTGGTTAATTCCCCGAGGTCTTCGAGTTCAAGGTGCGTAAGACGGGGAGCAGACGCCAGGATCGGTTCCACTGCCGAGTCGGTCAGGGTCGTGATACCGGAGAGGATTAGACCTTCGAGCTCTGGAACCAGGTGGCCTAGGGCTTGAACGCCCTGGCTGGTGAGACGATTGCATCGGGAAAGATCGAGGTGACGAAGTTTTCGAGGTGGCACCATAGGCGTGTTTGTGAGAACGTCGATTTCGGGATCCACCCCGTGCATCATGACTTGTAGCGCGGCGTCACTCAGATCTTCGCACCCTGCTAGAACGAGGCGTTCGAGGTTGTTGGTGGTAAAGATGGATTTTGCGACTTCCAGGTCCTTGAATCCCTTGACCTCACCGACTCGCAGGTCTTTGAGCTTCGGGCATCCTTCCAACACGGTTTGGATGGCCTTAGCATCCATGTGTTTGCACCATGA